TCTATTAGTGTCAGTTCCAGAAATGATTAAACAATATTTAAAGGTCCAGACTCCGTGGAGACAAATTCCTGTTGTTGGAAAAAGTTGCCTTTTGCTTCTAATTCTGAACTCCCTGAATCAGTAAAAACATCAAATAAAAACCCAAACTAGGACTTTGGATAAAATTTCAGTCTAGAGGGTACAGAGGTCTCCCAATCTCTATACCCATTTCTAAACTTAGTAGATAAAATATATAAAACATCATAGCACAGGTTCTGTCTTTCTCTCTCTCCCTCCCCCATTTTCCCTCTCTCTCTCCCCCCCATGTTTTTCTATGTTCTCCTTTTCTCCCTGCCATGATGAACCGCAGCCTCTGAAACTGAGCAAAATAAATGCTCCTTTAAGTTGTGTCTGCCAGGGGTTTTGTCGTAGAGAAGGAAAGTCTAATATAGAAAATTGGTATCAGAGAAGTAGAGTCATTGCTATGACTACTTGACAGTGTGGTTCAAGAGCCTTTGAACCTGGCTTGTGGGAGGAATTTGGAAACGTTTAGAAATGCAAACTAGAGAAGCCCTAGAATGCTGTGAACAGAGTTCAGTGGATGAGTCTGCTGGGAGCTCAGAAGACCAGAATGCTGATAGGAATGTAGACAGTAAAGACTGTGCTCATGGGTTTCAGATTGGAATGAGATCTCTGTTTGGGATGGACTACAGGCCATTATTATATTACATGCTGGCAAAGAACTTGTGAACATTTTGTCCATGCCTTGAGACTGAGGGAGGCTAAGTTTAAAGTGATGGACTCATTGGGAGAGGGTATTTCAAGGCAGCCCAGCATTCAGGCTGTGCAGAGCTATCTCTAGCTGCTTTTAGTTGAATTTACATTGAGAACTGGGAGCAAAAGGCAGAGCAGAAAGGTTTGAAAACCATGCAGCTTGCCCAGAAAAAAAAAGAAAAAAGCCCATGTAAAGATGGGATTAAGGAAAAGTGCCTCCTGAAGAGATTAGGGCCATTTAAAAGCAGTCAAATACTTTTCATTGAGACAATAGGAAAGATGCCTTTGAGGGCATCTCAGAAACTGGCTGGACCCTTCCTATCACAGACTCAAGGATGTAAAGATCTTAACTCATTTGAAAGACTTTGCTTTAAGAAGGCAGCTGGAGTGAGGGATATAACAGGGCCACCTAAGGGTAGTGGTTTCCCATGTTCAGTCTTTAGGCCACCATATCCATGGTCCAAGGGGCCTGGCTACTGCTTCAACTGGCAGCTGACTAGTGTAATCCACATGGTGCTGGGTTTTAGACATGCAGAATACAACAGTTATGAGTCATGGGGGCTTCAAGTCATATTTCAAAGGAAAGTCTAAGAGGCCAGACAATGTAGAGTAGCCTCTAAGAGGGTGATGTGTGAAGCTGTGTGGGTGAAGCTTAAGTTGCAGTGGAGACCCAAGGAATTTGGAAATGCCAGGAAGGTGGAGCATCAGCCAAGGAAAGCCACAGGCAGCAATGAAGAACCTGCAATGAAGAGAGGATATGTAGGCTGCAAACAGCATGTCACAGGGACAGGGACAGGGCCACCCAAGTCATGTGGAGCTCACATCATGCCACAGTCTGCTTCTGATGCTGGATATGGAGCTATATGATTTAATGTTTTCTCTGCTGGGTTTTGGTCTTGCTTTGGTCCCATTCCTCCTTCTATGCCCCATTCCTCCCTTTTAGAATGAGACTGTTTGCTGTATGCCATTGATTCTTGAAAACAGTTAATTTGGTTTTGGTTCTACAGGTGCTCAAACTAAGAGTTTGCCTTGGGTCTCAGAAGAGACTTTGTACTTGGACTTTTGAACAGTGTTGAAACTGCTATGACTATGAGGACTTTTGGAGAGAGAATGAATGCATTTTGCATTATGAGACAGACATGAGCCTTTTGGGGACCAAGGAGTTTAAGGAGATGTTTGAGTGTCAAGTTGAAAAGGTGTGGATTTGTAATGATTAATCTTGATTTTCAACTTAATTGGATTGAGAAGAACTGAGGAGTTTAGTAAAATATACCTCTGTGTCTACAAAGACCTTTACAGAGAGGATTAACTAAGGGGGAGACCCACCGTGAATGTAGGTGGCACCACCCCATAGAGGGGGCTTAGTTGAAATAAAAGTGGAAAAAAGGAGCAAGCTCACTAGCACAGGGATGTTCTGTCATGGCTTACTGGCCATCAGAATGTGAACTTCTCTGCTCTTCCATGCCCTCCCCACCATCATGGACAGAAACCTCTGAAATGTGAGCCAAAATAAACCCTCTGCTCTTTAAAAAGAAAAGGAGTGAAAGAAAATGTCATAGTAACCTAACTGGGTCCTAAAACAAGGTAAATATCTCTTGAACCAAAAATGGAACAGAAAACGAAATGATGGAATATGGCTCTGCTGGGCCTTGGTCTGAAGCAGGCAAGGGCAGCCGCCTCTGATGGTGAAGGTCTCTAAGTGAGCTCAGTCAAGAAGTAACCTTGCTGTTTTTAACTTTTTGTAGCATCTGTGGCTCAACACAGATACTCAACACTTAGGAAGTAAGAGAGGTTTATTTTGGCCCACAGTTCTTGAGGTTGAAGTCTAAGATTGGGTGGGTCCACTTGTTTAAGTCCCTGGTGAGGATGGCCCATCATGATGGAGAATGTATCAGGGTAAGATGTCACATCTTGAGCCAGGAAACAGAAAGGGGAACAGTCTGGAGTACTACATTCCCTTTTAAGGCCATGCCCCCATTGAAATAAGCACCTCCAGTAAGCCCTCACCTCTTAAAGGTCCATAGCATCTTCCAGTACTGCTGCTCTGGGGACCAAGCCTTTTCATATGGACCTTTGTGGGCCACTCACCCAAACCATACCAGCATCTTAGCCTACAGATTTATAAGAAACCATGAGTTTTTGGCAAAGAGTGGGGACACAATCAAAACCCAAATAGTCTACAGATATTCCATAGGTTGGAGGTCCTAAAAAGACACTGTAAGACCTGGCTCACAGGACACATGTGAAGGCACTTAGTCAAAGTGGGAGGAGACAAAGGTTAAATAAATAAATATGTCACCCTACCAGTGTTCCATAATACACACACACACACACACACACACACACACACACACACACACAGAGCATGCTAAGAAAAGAAGTTAACTAAATCATCAATAATCATATCATCAATATATTCCAGATTAATTTTATAGAATAGGGATTTTAAATTTGCTTAAGTGCTTTAAGTTACAGATGTAAAAAAATTTTTGACAGAATATTTAAGAAAAGGAAGAAATAAAAATACAGAGCTGAGCCAGGCTCAGTGGTTCATGTCTATAATCCTAGCTATTAGTGAAGAGGCGACTGGCAGGAGTGTGGTTTGTTGCCATTTTGGGCAAAAAAGTTCACAAGACCCTATTTTGACCAATAAAAAGCTAGGTGTGGACAAGTGTGTGCCTGACATTCTAGCTACATGGGAAACATAACTAGGAAGACTGTAGCCCAGGCATAAACGCGAGACCCTGCTCAAAAAATATCTAAAATCAAAAAGGGCTGGAGACTTGGTTCAAGTGGTGGAGTGCTTGCCTGGCAAGCACAAGGCCCTGGGTTCAAACCCAGCATCACTAATAAAAAAGAAAAAGACAGCACTGTATGTGCTAGCAAACTTGTTTGGAAAGAAAAATGTTGTATATTGTGTGTGTGTGAAACAGATTTGATCCTTTTTTCCTGAGTCTCCTTCACTTTATAGTCATGATTGTACCTTTAAAAAAAACTATATTATTTTTGCGTCTTTAAAAACATTTGCATGTCTTTAAACATTTTTATGTCTTTAAAAAATGTTTAAAATGTGACCTACACACAGAACATTGCAAATGGTTAAAAATAAAGTATTATGAAAATATTACAACTTAAAAGAATTCATTTCACAGTGTTTTACTTGGTCTTTGACTTAATTGGAATACTTTTAGGAGGATACTTCATTTGTGTTTGTAATAGTCTTTGAAGCACTTGGAAATAAATTTCTGCCTAATTCATTAAAATTTTCTATGACAAAAAAAGAAAGAAGACAAAAAAAGGGATAGTAAATGGAAAACAGAAAACATGATAGAAATGAGTCCAAGAATATTAAAATCACAATAAATGTAAGTGGATTATTTTTGCCAATTAAAATATTTACTGTATAACATATGAGATTAATTTTTTAAATAAGCTGTAAAAGGAAGAATCCTTAATAATCATGTCTGAGAATGTAAATTGGCACTATTTGTCAATATCTAGCATACACACACACACACACATAATCCTAGATGAATATGTATATAAAAAGAGATACATATATACAACATTTGATTACATTATGGTAGAGAAAAATTAAAAGCTAGTTCAATGTCCATTAATGGAATGCATGCATGAGTTGTTACATAGTCATACCATATAATACTACCAGCAACTGAGAGGTATAAATTCAAACAGTAGATGATAACATAGATATTTCTTTAAAAGTCATGGTAAGAGAAATGAACAAATTAAAGAGATAGATCAGCCTAATCTTATTTATATTTTATTCTGAAACACGATAAATAATAGTACACATTATTTATAGTTAAATATATATGTAGTGATTGTATAAAAGTATAAAGGGGAAATAGTAAATCAGATTCAAGATCATAGATTCCTCTGGGAAGAAAGGAGGGGGATGAGTGTCAGCAAAATATACACAGAGGACCTTAACTCTATCTAATATTTAGTTCATGTTTTCAAATATACGTAGCAAAATGGCAAAATATAGTGGTGTAATAAAGTGAGTGGTAGATGCTTGGGTGTTTATTACAGTCTATACTTTTCATATATTAGAAATATTTCTTAATTTTAAATTGTGCACTTGATTTATTTAAATATAAAACACAGTGGAAAAGGCTTGTAATTGGAGAGAAAGTAATTAGCTAAAAGACTGGGTGAGTGGCTGTAATGGAGAAATCCAAGAAGAAAAGTAAGAAAGTCACGATTTTCACCTGTCGTTCTAGACACATGAATGACCACTTCACCAACCTCTACCCACAACTGATCAAGAAGCAGCTCATCATGGACAAAGTGAAAGACTTTATAGAGTATGTATGGGAGCTTTACTCTTCTGGTGTTTATTAAGTCTGCAAATTTCTTTTTCTGTCTCTTTAGCAGGACTCTGTAGAGTTGCTCTCATAGTAGGGTATAGCATTTTTCAGTAATGACATGAAAACTGGTTGATACAACATGTCCTTTAATTTCAGCTCTTTCAAAGGTCAAGGTGGATAAGCTAAGACAGTAGAAGACACCAGCAGGATAAAGCAGGCAAATTAAATCCCCAACCCCTTCCACATGGCTGCTCCTCTCCTTCTTGTAGGGGGTCCCTTTTATTCCCTCTGAAGGTGGCACGGTGACTAATACCAGCTGGTGTTAGCTAATATCTAAAGTTATTTTCTTTTTTGAGACAAAGTCTCACTATGTAGGGCTGGCCTTAAACTCAAGATTCTCCTGTCTCAGCCTCCCTAGTGCTGAGATTACAGGCATGTACCACCACGCCTGCTGCTAAAGTCATAATTATTAACACTGTCTGAGAATATATCCATTTTAATAGTTTTCTAAAGACTAAATTTTTAATATGACTAAATTTGTGGGATGAGGGACCATGTATGGTGATACATGCCTGTAATCTCAGCGATGCAGCAGGCAGAGGTAGGAGGATCACAGTTGGAGACAAGCCCCAGACAAAAGAGATATCTTACCTAAAAAATAAATTGAAACAAAAAAAGGTGGGGTTGTGGTTCAAGTGGTAGAGAGCTTGCCTGGCAAGCACAAGACCTTGATTTCATACCCTAGTACCTCCAGAAAAAAAAAAAATTGTGGATGACAAGAAATAATTTGGGGGAAGGAAAGGATCTTTGTTTGGCCGTGCTAATCATATACTAAGCAACCTCTTCATGAAATTCTAAAAATCCTACCAAGCACCAGCTAAAAAAATCACAAAACTAGATCCCATGAGACATGAACTTGTATTGTTCTAAGTAGCTTTCTGTATGCAAAGTCATAACTAATCATCCCATATAAAGTATAGAGAACAGAATGAAGGGAGAAGAAAAGGCCTGTTAAAAATAAGTCTTTTTTTGAGACGTATGCTAGGACACACGCGTTGAGGCACTAAATAACAACTGACATGACAGGAATATAAATTAAACCCCCTTGTCCTTAGGTGGTTTTTTTTCCTAACCTATTGTTTAACTTCTACATACAAAAGTAAAGTTAAGTTGGGCGGCTGGTGGCTCACACCTGTAATCCTGGCTACTCAGGAGACAGAGATCAGGAGGATTGCCGTTCAAAGCCAGCTCCAGCAAATAGTTCTCAAGACTCTTATCTCAAAAAAACCCATCACAAAAAAGGACTGGTGAATAACTCAAGTGATAGAGCATCTTCCTACCAAGTATGAGGCCCTGAGTTCAAACCCCAGTACCACCAAAAAGCAAAAAAAAGTAAAATTAGTGAGCTTGTCTTTGTTGACTTACTGAGATATTATGATTTTATAGAAGATAACATTTGAATGGTTTGTGTTTGACTTTCTTAGGACTTGGTATCACACATAGACTGCGATCACATTTGTGTTTTGGTTCTAGATAGAGCCCAAAAAAAGCTATAAAAGACGATTCATAGTCCTAGGAATAAATTAAATTTCATTTAAGGTTTGCTCTGAAATCTTTTGAGTGACTGGCATGTTATAAGATCTAGGATTTTAATTATACTAGCATAAGTGTCTGAGTGTATATATATATATATATATATATATATATATAATCTCTAAGTGGCTGGTTTGATTTAACTTTGGATGAGCAGTGTTTGAGACCTGCAAATCTGATATCTCCTCCAGGAAGCAAGAGCAGTGGACCCGGAAGAACATCAAAGACTACAAGGATGACCCATTTTGGAGACACACTGGCTACATCATAGCACAGATGGACGGGCTGTATGCAGGAGCAATGAAGAGGGCCATGGCAGAAGGGACAAAAGTAAGATGTTTAAGAAGTACTGAGAATTTATATGACAAGAATATTGAATTTTTTTGAGGTACTGGAGTTTTGGACTCAGGGCCTTATGTTTGCTAGACAGGTGCTCTACCACTTGAGCCACTCAGCCAGTCCTTCTTGCATTTGTTATTTTTGAAATAGGGTCTCACTTTATTCCTTGGGCTAGCTTGGACCACAATTCTCCTATTTATGCTTCCCCCAGTAGCTGGGATGACAGGTGTGTACCACTATTTGCAGCCATTGGTTGAGATGGGGTCTCGGGAACTCCCCACCCCCAATCCCTATTCCCACCCACCCCCCCCAGCCTTGAACCATGATCCTCCTGCTCTCTGCCTCTCAAGTAGCTAGGATTACAGGCTTGAACCACTGCGCCTGGCCTTGAAAATGGTTTTGAAAGTAACATTCCAATTTAGTGGCATATCAAATGAGGACTAGAGCATACATTCCTTGCAGACAAGCATTGTTATATCCGTTATATTGTAGCAACTAACTCACCTTACACAAGCTCAAAACCTGTTTCTGTGTTCATAAATCTTTCATAATATTATGCTCATGATGAAGTTTAAAAGTCTGGTATGAACATAACTGGCTTTTAAACTAACCCAACAGAGGTGTTAGTGCTTTAAACCACAAGCTCATTAAGCCAAAATGTCCAAGTGTGCCAGCTTTGTTTTCCACAGACTACCACATCCACGTAGACACAGATGCACACTAACACATGTGCATTCATTTTGGGGTGAAACTGTACCAAGTCTTTGAGGTGTCATTTGATACACTTCTAAAAATCATCCTGAGTAATTTGTTTCCTAGGGGCAATATGTTTATATATGTATGAGTATATGTGTGTGTATACATGTGTATGTGTGTATACATACATACATGGATACAAAAATGCATACATACATAGGGCAAAATATGCAAAAAGTTCATAGACATATGATATACACAATTCCTAATCATATGAATTCAGCCTTGCTCTTAAGATTAGAAATGCAAATTAAAGCCATACTTTTATTTTTTCACCAGTTTGGCAAGAATTCCAAAGTATGAAAGTATCCCCATTGGCAAGGCCATAGAAAAAAGATGCTCTCCTAAAACACTGGAGAGAGTACACAGTAGTATATCCACTCTGAACAGGAACTTCAGCACTTTGTGCCAAAATCATGTGCTCATTTCCCTTTTGAGCCAGGGATCCCACTTCCAGTATTATCACAGAGGTACACTGGCAAAGATCCAATATGGCAGATGTGCTAGCCTACTAACTGAGGATAATTTATATTAGCAAAAGACTGAAAGTAGTCAAGTACTTAGAGGACTAGCTGAATGAATGATGTAGTTCTAATGAGCAATAAGTGGAGTCCAGGTGTGGGGATGTAGGCCTGTAATCCCAGCTACATGGGAAGCAGAGATCAAGAGCATTGCTATTTGAGGCAAGCCCAGGCAAAAAAGTTAGCCCCCATCTCAAAAAACAATCCAGGCATGGTGGTACACAGCTGTACTCTCGGCTTTGTGGGAGGCACTGATAGGAGAACCTCAGTCCTAGGCCAGCCCAGGCAAAAATGCAAGACCCTATATGAAAAGCATCTAAGTAAAAAGGGCTGGGAGTGTGGCTCAGTGGTAGAATGCCTATCTTCCACTATTATTTGTATGGGTTGTTTTTTTAGTATTTATATGAAATTTTTTTAAACTCTGGAGATATACAAAAGAAGTCAGTAAAAATGGTAAACTAGAGAAAGAATGGGAACAAAACAAATGGAGGACAAAAAGAGGCAGCACAGCCTAGCATGGTTCTGATTGCAAGTACCCTCAGAACTTAGAGAGCTGAGGCAGGTGGGCCATGAGTTCAAAGCCAGCCTGACCCCATCTAAATAAAAGAAAGAAAAGAAAAAGGAGAAGGAGACATTCAACTAAAGACCTTACTATGATTTCTTACATCTTAAATAACAAATGTATTACTTATTCAAAAACACAAAACCAAGGGAATGTTTAATAAATTAATTATTGGGTTGGGATTTTTGCTTTTGTTTTTGTTTTTGGTGAAAGTGACATTTCTCTCTCCACCATCTCTACTAACAACTGATTTGTGCATAGATGCATTGGGCTATTCTGGTTAATTAAATAAGGCAGTACTCTCCAGGTAGTACCAAGTTTCTGTGCAAATATCACCTGACAGTTGCTTCAAGGTTAATGATATTCTGTTAGTCCTATATTAAGCACACAAAATCAGAAGCGTCTTAGTTAAAATTTTTGCTGATGTGATTTGTCCCACAGAGAACATTTACGAATGTCTTGAGGAGATACTTTTAGTCGATGGGTGTGTGTTAGTTCACGCCTGTAATCCCAGCTACTACTGAGGCAGAGGTAGGATGATCCTAGTCTGATGTCAGCCAAGGCAAAAGCACAAGACCCTGACTGGAAAACAAAAAAGAGGACTGGGGCCATGGTTCAAGTGGTAGAGCACTTGCCTAGCAAGCATGAGGCCCCGACTTCAATCCACAGTAGAGCCGAAAAAAACCTGGAAGGATGCTATGGCTATTTAGCGGTGGAAGGCAGATAAGCTACAGTGCACAGCCTTCCAAAAGAAAGAATCATCTGTCCCAACATGTCAATAGTGCCAAGACTGAGAAGCCTGGCCATAGAGGAATGCAAACAGAAAGCTGTTTTATTCCCTAAGAAGCCATGTTCAAAATCAAAATATGCTAAGGCATCTCTTATAATGCCATAAAATCATTTTTGAAGTCATAGTAAATCCAACACATCTGTTCTATTAGAGACCCTTCCCAAGTGAGTGATTTAATGCAACTTGAGCAAGAGATCCAGAAAATGGCCTGTGTCACAATTCAACACTAAATGCAGTCTGTGTCCTTCCCCAGCCCATAACCATGTTCCAGATTCAGTTCCTGAATGCTGTTGGAGATCTCCTGGATCTCATTCCTTCTCTCTCTCCCACCAAAAACCCCAGCATGAAGGTTTTTAAGAGATGGGACATGGGACACTGTTCTGCTCTTATTAAGGTAAGCTATTCAGCAGTGCCTCTTTCTCCTGCTCCACATAGACCTTTTCTCCATGTCACCCAAGTACTGCCACATCCCATCGCCCTGGCTGGAGCTATGTAGCAACTCATGGGGTCCTCTACAGTAGAAGTTGGAGGTACAGAATGTAACCTGTTTCTTCCACCATTCCTCCTATACTATATGTGTCCCCCACTCCCAACATTCCATTTTGCATGTTAGAAGAAGAGACATTAAAGGTTAATGTTTAACTCTTTGGCATGTATTCCAATAATAGAGAGAGCAATACAGTTACCTGATTGACAACGTTGTAGTCAGTTATCTGTGTGCCTGTCTGTGATTCTGCCTACAGGTCCTTCCTGGATTTGAGAACATCTTTTTTGCTCACTCAAGCTGGTATACGTATGCAGCCATGCTCAGGGTATATAAGCACTGGGACTTCAACATCAAGGACAAAGACACCAGCAGTAGTCGCCTCTCTTTCAGCAGTTACCCAGGTAAATAAATTTAGAGGGACACCCAAGAGCTTTCTTCAAGCAACACCCCGGTGATTCAAGGCTAACCAAAGGGAACAATAAATAATAAATGCCTTGTGGCTAAAAGGGCATTCTGATTTTCAGAGTGCCTTTTGAAGAAATAGAGCCTTAATCCTTTTAATAGATAATACAAGTAGGTTAATAGATTTGCCAAGTAGAAGATGCTTTGTAAATGTAAACTATAGGCATCTAAATTCACTTCAACAAATGGCAACTGAGCACTTAGGAACTACAAGACACCAGGTTCTGCACTCAGGACAGATCCTGCTCTCACATCTCCCTGAGGATCTGTGCTCTGTTTCTCTCATTCATTGCAAAATCCACAGTACTTAACCAAGCGTGTGGCATCTAGTACTCGGTAGAGTTTTGTTAAATGAATGAATGAATGACTGTGTAGACTTATAATCCTTACATTATAGTCAGGAGGTCAAGAAAAATACGATACAGGTAAAAGTAATAATGTTACTGAATAGTGTATATTCTACAAAAGTGTAACAAATGTTACCAGTATTCCAAAGAGAGAAAGATTCCATCTGATTGTTGGGGAAGGGAAAGAGGTTGACATTTGAGATGGGTAGTGATGATGGCTAGACGTAGTACAGGGAGAGATGGATGGGAGGACAGTCTTTATAGAAGAGGGGCTACAGACTCCTTTCTCTAAAGGAGGCAGACAGAGGATGTAAGTGAATAAAGAGGAGCGGATGTAAGAAAACAAGGTGGAAACCATTGAAGCAAACATGACCCACTGAAGAAGACGTCTGCGTAGCCCCCACTGACTGTCATCCAGGAACATGGAGACTGGTATTTCCAGATCCTCCAACTTCTTGAGATAGGAAAACAGATTTTAAATCCAAAACTCACCATGTAAATCTAACAAGGATGTCTGCTAGCTGGAATTGCCCTCTCAATTGCAGGCTTGCAATCTCCCCAGGAACCATTATTAGCAGAGACAAGGAGACACACTTAACACCTAACAGTCCACTGTGGAGGCGGTTTGGAGAATTTTGACCTTTAGTGATGTATCTATAACTTACAATGTGGTTATACCAACCTCCTGTCTTATCTGGTTCTCTTTGTGAGAGTGACTGTTTTTTCCTGATTTATTCCACTTTATATGAATTCTGACCAGAGGCATAACCCAGGATTTCCATCCTTGAAACATGATCCTTCCTTTGAGACCTCTTTGATTTTTATCTTTGCATAATTTAATTTAACATTGAAGGGGACTACAGACTCCTCTCTGTTAGGCTGTACTTTGCTTCTTTTTTGTTCTGTGACACTGACATTTAAGGACAGCAAGAGACTGAGGCCAGTCAAATATTCTTATATGATAAAATACAACACTCAGATGTTCCTGCACTGCTGAAATCTCTATGAGTATGGTGTTCTCTATTACAGTCCTGGAGGGCGTAGTGATGGAGGAGAATATGGGAGAGTTTCCTATGAAATTTATGACCCTGTTAACATTTCCATATATAGTCTTCAAGAACAGCCAGGTGCTGGTGCTTATGCTTGTAATTCTAGCTGCTCAGGAGGTGAGATCAGGAGGATCACAGTTAAAAGCCGGCCCGGGTAAATAGTTTGCAAGAAAGACCCTATCTCAAAAATGCCTAACACAAAGCAGGGCTGGCAGAGTGGCTCAAGTGGTAGAGTGTCTACTTAGCAAGTGTGAGATCTAAATTCAAACCCCAGTACCACCAAAAATAAAAAAAAAAAAAACAGTCAGTCATGGTGGCTTATGCCTTTTACCCTAGTTTTGGTGGAGGAAGAAATTCAGAGGATCATGGCTCAACACCACCAGGGCAAAAGTTAGCAAGACCCCATCTCAACCAGTAAAAAGCTGGGTGTGGAGGTAAACACCTGTCATCCCAGCTATGAGGGAAGCATAAATAGGAGGACTGTGGTCCAGGCCAGCCTGGGCATAAATGTGAGAACCTGTTTGAAAAATACCTACAGCAAAAAGGACTGGGGGTATGATCCCAATGTAGAGTACCTGCCTAGCAAGCTCAAGGCTCTGAATTCAAGTCCCAGTACCTCCAAAAAAATAAAAATAAAAAAAAAGAACAGGTAGATAACATGGATAAATAATATAGAGAGCTTTTTAGAACAATTGAAATTGCAAGAGAACAAAAGACATTTTATCCCCCGGTGTTCTTACAGGAGCTGGAGAACTATGTGATTTATATATTCTCTCAAATAGATAGCTTTCTTTCTCAACAAAAAACACAGCATGTGAAGCCTGACTGATGTTGCAAACTGGTTGATTAAGAAATCTGCCATGCTGGATTCATCCAGTGGCCATGGAAGTAAGCTCCCTTGAAGCTCACACTAGGTGCTCTGCTGAGCCTGAACAAAGTTGGGTGATTTGTTTTCTTTTCTGTGGTGCAGGTTGAGTGGGATAGAGTAGCATGTTATTTTTGTATCAAACAGGATGAGGTCTGAAACACTTCAGGATCTGGGCAAGAGTATTAAGAATTTCTGAGTTAACACCCAGTGCTAGTGACTCACACTTGTTATTCTAGCTGCCTGGGAGGCTGAGATCAGGAAGATCAAGGTTCAAGGCTAGCCGGGCAAATAGTTCACAAGAGCCCATCTCTAAAATAACCAGAGCAAAATGAAGTAGAGACTACTCAAGCAGTAGAACACCTGCTTTGCAAGTACAAAGCCTTGAGTTCAAATCAGTCTCACAAGAAAAAAAAAAATTCTGAGTCAACAGTTGAATTTGCTAACAGGATATGTTAGGTATTCCCCACCCCCACACACAGGTAACTATGTGAGGTGATGCATATGTTAATTAGCTTGGCTGTGGTAATCATTTCACAATGTGTATCAGAATATTATGTTGTAACCCTTCAATATACACAATTTTTTATGTATTAATTATACCACAATAAAGCTGGAAAAAGAATGGAAATGAAGTTATTAGGAGATAAGCAAATATTTTGTGTTAAGAGAACAATTGTTATATTTACATTAAAATTATACAAAAAAGCAGTTTTTAAAAAGAGGGTTAAGGCTATAGTTCAAGTGATAAAGGCCTCCAAGGCCTGGAGTTCAAATCCTGGTACCACCAAAAAAAAATTCCTGAATCAGAACATACCAACTTATAAAACATTCATGACCTGCTTGATGTGCTTATTTAAATTGACAACTAAGATGGTACAGCTGCCATCACACTGACATTCAGGTAGTTATAAGATTTCGTATGTTCTAGCCATATTGTGCTCTCCTGGCATATTTTTTAAAGCAGCCATCAAGATGAGTCCCATGAAAAACACCAGAACGTCTAATGGGTGCTGCATACCTCTAAATCCCCAGGAAGGATCATGAGTTTGAGGCCAGCCTGGGCTGCATAGAGAGACTCTGTCTTGGAAAGAAAAAAACCAAACCAAACCAAAACAAAACAAAAAACCACTATAACTTCAAGACAGACATACTTTTTTTTGAGTTATCTGACAGTAAAGACAACAAAGCATGACATCTGTTAAATAGTGCCTCACCATATGAAGTCCTGCTGCTTTAACATGGTGAGCCTCAGTTTTCTCAATCTAAAATGAGATTAATGCTTACTTCATGAAGTTGCAAATACTATATAATTTATTTATTCACCAACAATTTTCAGTTAAATTGTACTGGGCAAAGGATTTATGACAGAGAGCAAGAAAGATACAATCCCTCCTCACAAAATTTGCATTCCTGTGAGAAAGTCAAGTAAAAAACAATGACATGTTGCAACACTAGGGGGCAGCGTGGAGAGTCTGTTCCAACTGCTCACAAAGTGAGTTGAGCAGCCTGTTCATATAGCCAGAAAGGCAAGTGGGGGAGGGCAGGGTTTATCTGCATCAGTCACAACAGTCCTCTCATGTTTGTGTCAAACATGGTATGCTCATTATGCAAATGAAAGACTGTGTTTGGACCAATCACAGCTCTTCTGATGGGCTGAATTGCCCCGCCTCCCTGACCTAGGTGGAAACTGACCTGGGTGGAAGAGGTAGTTATAGCCATTGGTTTTCTGTTGAGCCAAAGTACCTTGCAAAAGGGTGCTTCCAAAGGCTTATCAGTAACAGTGCCTTAACCATATTTGACAAAAAAAAAAAAAAAAAAATTAAAAAACTTTCAAAAGGGTGTTTACAAAAAAAGCCAGTAACAATAAAATGTGATTTGTGTAAGACTCAAATCACCATAATGTTTTACAAATGGTTGGTCAGTGGATAGAAGATTGGTCTCCATCTTCAAGAAGAAAACAAAATGTTGAAAACAATCTCTAAATTACTGTAGCACATCACAGTGTTCCGTGTGCTGCCTGCCCTAACCAGAATCCTTAACAGATAATAACCAAAGAACTGTCAGAGTCAAGTTTGGTGGCACACATTTGTAATCCCAGCTTCCAGGGACTAAGGCAGGAGGCTTGCAAATTCAAGGCCAGTCTGCTACATAGTGAGACCCTGCCTCAAAAAGCAAAAACAAGAACAATAAAAATTCTCTGAAAAATACTTGCAAAATTGTAGTCCAGCATAGAAGAAGAGAAGGAGCAACAGAGATCCTTTATACTATACTCATCAGTATTACAGAAGAATTCGCTGCCTCCAGTACACCCAAACCAACGCCAGCCTCATGCTGTGTTCACCAGAGCCACAGTTAACTCCGTAAAAATGGAGATGGAGGCTTATGTCTTCTATAGCCTTGTTGGAAGTTGGGCAAAACAAGACCACAACTGTTCACAACCGTTCTTGTGAGAAACAGAAAGCTTCTAGAACAAGTTTGTCCAAGGGTCAATTCCTCAAAGGTTTCCAGTGTCTTGGGCAAATATTTACTTGCAGGACAACTGCCTGTTATAAACAACTTGATTAAAAAGTTTATTATAGGGCTTGAAGTGTGGCTCAAGTGATAGAGTGTCTGCCTAGCGAGCATGAAGCCCTAAGTTCAAACCCTAGTACCACCAAAAAAAAAAAAAAAGTTTA